ATACACATAAGTCTCAACCTGATGGACATTACAATGTATCTATACACATAAGTCTCAACCTCATAGTCATTACAATACGTCTATACACATAAGTCACAACCTGATGGACATTACAATACATCTATACACATAAGTCTCAACCTGATGGTCATTACAATACATCTGCACGCTTAAGTCTCAACCCGATAGTCACTGCAACGTATCTACCATCTAAGTGTCAATCTGATGGTCACTGTAAAGCGTCTGAACACAAAACTCTCAACCGACAAAATAAAAGCGATCGTAAACCGCGCGAAAAAGTTGCCTGGCGATAGATAGCACGCGAAAGAATTTTTCGTCGTTTCCAGGCATATAACAAACAAACACGGTGATTGATTTGCCCTTTAACACAGCTGCCGATGAATATTCAAACGCATCTGTAGAAACTCGATGTATCGTCCCTCTTTCTCTCTTCTGTTTGGCGCGACGAGCACGCGGCGTTAGGCAACCAACGATACAAAACCGTCCGCTATTGAAAATGTTAAACAACTCGATATTACATCACGTTACGCGCGACTATTAATTACACCGATATACTTATTCATCTGCTCGTTCGCGGGGTATTCACGTGCACAATTTACGGTCAATTTGCAACTCGCTACCGTGCTGTCACCGGTTCGAGGCGTATTATTTATAGGCCTTGTTTCTTTCGGCGTCCTCCGCGAAGGAAAGTCGACCGGGAACAAATGAAATTGCTATCGATGCTCTGGCGAGTGATGAATCAAATTTAAATCGACCGCTCGGTACTAACTTTGTTATTGAAAATAACGCGGTAGCGGTTCGAGTTAACTGTCGCGACCATTTTTATACATACACAATCGGTGTAATAATTATTCGTATACGAATCATTTATTTCAAATTGGTTGCTGTACGAATACTCCTTACAGCGACTGTACGTCTCAACCTGATGGACGTTACACTTTATTTACATACGCGAAGCTCAGTAAATTTTGTTCACCGTTCTTCTAACGGAAGTATTCTCGAAAATGATTAAGTGCAGAAATTAATTCTACGCTATTGCACGTTTAAAAAACGTTTCATGTCGCAAAGACGCGTCCTTTCTCGCCATTAAAGGTCGTAACCGGTTACGTGACTCATCCCCGCGTAACTGTCCACCGACGAATTATCGAAAGCTGTTCCTCTGTACCTGTACACGCGTTAGACTCGATCGGCCTTCTTATTTTCGTGTCCATCGATTCATCGATCGCGCGTGGCCCACGCCACGTCGGAAATGTCACACGCGCCGTTCCTTCGTTATTTTGTATAATAGAGCCCTCGTAAAGCAAACGGTAGAGCGGAATATATCGCGCGATATATTAAATGCACGTGTAGGTCTCTCGGCTTTCGTCGAAGCGAAAGAAAGTAGTCTGTCCCGTTACGAAATAGCGAGTGAATGTCGACTATCTGGGTCAGACAAAAGCGGAACTTCCGCGAGTACTCGACGACCGACGAACAGTTTAACAGCGTGTTCAATTTTTTATCAGGTCGTATAAACGTTCCCTCGGCCCTTGAATTTTCCAGAAGGATAATCGACGCGCGTTGATATTTATCAACGATGGATACTAATACCTATGCCTTACCAAACCGACTTCGGCAATTATTTATAAATAAACCGGCAATGTTTATGCATTTATGGTAAACACGAAGATATGGGGAAATCTATGAGAATGTCCACGAATGCATGCAATCGTTAAATATCGATAATAACGTACGCTTTATACCGTTTGGAATATACATAAAACATGTTTCCATTTAAGTTGAAATTCTTTTCGTGTATCGGTGAAAATATGAGCTCGCGTAAACATCCGCGGTGTATTTTTAAAACAAAACCAGACGACGTTCAATGTTCCCTCGATTGCACGTTCCGAGGGAGTGTGCATGCAGGTTGTAAAAATAAGTTATTTTTATTATAAATTGCCGTGCAAAGCCACGTGATTAATTTCCGTACCTAATATTTTTAATGTCAGAAAAGTAACAGTAAGCAACATTTCGCGGCTATCAAAGGTTCGATACGCATTGTAACGACCATCTGATTGAGACCTGGATTTCGAGAATATTATTTAATTTTGAATGAGTGCGTATACCGTTCGGTTACATTTAGCACGTGCTTATTATGTTAATTTATATCGTAAGTGCATACGATGCAGTTTAACGATAATAAAATATTTTCCTTCGCCGAGGGAGAAAGCGAAGGTTGAGTACCCCTGGCTGACTCAACTTCGTAGAAACAAACGAAACGACGAACACAGTGAGCAAGAACTGAACACGTTTCTTTTTTTTTTTTTTTATAGCGTTTCGTGAATTTACAGAAGGATGTCGTGGCCTTCCCATTTCCGAGCCACGTACCGTTAGTTACTTTTTATGGGCAGCGCTAGGGATACGATTAATCCTCCGAAATATGTCGACGAATCGCTGTAAACGGTCGACGATGGCCTCTAATGGCGTTCCCGTGTCAACGTGGGCCCGTCTTAAATATTTAATCCGTAACCCGAGGTTTATTTTCAATATCCCTGGCCGAATCACACGGCTCTCGTTTCACCAATATGAGATTTCATGGAAACGTTGAGGTCCGGCGACCAACTTCGACCCCAGATAAGCGAGAGCTTTCTTGCTCGCGTTGCAACGTCAACCGACGCGATAGATACCGTTCCCGGATCACGCCAAATAACAATCTACAACTTCGTTCTTTTTCTATTATTTGCTCGTGTGTATTTCTAGGCGATACATCGTGGTATTTTATGGTATTTTTATCTAACGAAATGAGAAAAGGATCATTCGAAACATATTGAAAGTAAAGTTCATATCTGGACGTGAAATATACTTTTAGGTTAGGTCTTTATATTTTTTTATATTTTTAGGTTAGGTTAGCTCTTTATAGTTTTATATATTTTCGAGGTTAGGTTAGGTCTTTATACTTTTATATATTTTTGAGTTTAGGTTAGGTCTTTATATTGTTATATATTTTTAAGGTTAAGTCAGGTCTTTATATTTTTATATATTTTTAGGTTAGGTTAGCTCTTTATACATTTATATATTTTCGAAGTTAGGTTAGGTCTTTATATTTTTATATATTTTCGAGGTTAGATTAGGTCTTCATATTTTTATATATTTTCGAGGTTAGATTAGTTTTTTATATTTTTATATATTTTTAGGTTAGGTTAGATCTTTATATTGTT